ACACACCGATTGTCAAGGCCAACAACCAAGATCTCACCTATATCCTCTTGGCCTCCCTCCTGCTCTGCTTCCTTTACTCCTTTCTCCTCATTGGTCAACCAGGGATGGTCACCTGTCTCTTCCAACAATCTGCCTTTGCCATTTTCTTTTCCTTTGCAGTTTCCTCCATGCTGGCAAAAAATGTCATAGTGGTTCTGGCCTTCATGGCCACCAAGCCAGGGAACAAGACTAGGAAACTTTTAAGAAAACCACTGACCAACTCCATTGTCATAGCCTGTCCTCTGATCCAAGCAGTCCTTTGTGCCACCTGGCTGGGAACCTCTCCCCCATTTCTTAACTTGGACTTCTACTCCTTGTTTGGAGAGATCATCTTGGAATGTAAGCAAGGCTCAGCCGTAATGTTTTACTGTGTCCTCTCTTACCTAGGACTTTTGGCCTTTCTCGGTTTCACAATGGCCTTCCTGGCTAGGAAATTGCCTGATAGTTTTAATGAAGCCACGTTCATTACTTTTAGCATGCTGGTCTTTTGCAGTGTTTGGATCTCCTTCCTCCCACCTACCAGAGCACTAAAGGGAAGTCCATGGTGGCTGTGGAGATTTTCTCCATTTTGGCCTCTGGAGCTGCTCTCTTGGCTTGTATCTTTTCCCCCAAATGCTACATTATTCTTCTGAGGCCTGATCAGAATTGTAGAGAAAATATTGTAAGAAACAAAAATGTCTAACTAATGCAAAGAGTTGCCTCATTTACATTTATCTTTGTGGCATTTTTAGAATGTGATAAGTTTTCTAATAAATGATGATGTGAAGGAGGAATTCGTCCAGAAATGAATTCCTTATCAAGTTCTGCAAATGCTTACAATATTCCTGTGATCAATCTGGAAGGAAAACTGTGTTTATTATTTCAGATATTTCTAAGTTTACATGGCAAAGGAAAAAACCAAGAATTAGATACAAACTAGTGCGATATGCTAAGGAAAAGGGTGGGTTGGGTTTACCAGACCTGAAATTATATTTTGAGGCATGTTGTCTTGCCTGGTTAAAAGAGTGGATGAACCTCCAGAATAAGAGGCTACCAGAATTAGAGGGCCATGAATTAAGGTTTGGATGGTACAGTTATTTATGGTATGATTAAAATTAATGTTGAATTTAATAATCACATTGCTAGATGTGCCATACTAAGAAATTGGAATAAATGTAAAAGAAGGTTCTATATGAAGTTGCCTGTTTGGATGTCCCGCACCTTCTAGATCCTTTTTTTTTTTTTTTAGAAAATAAATGGTGGTGAAGTAAGAATGATGGACGTATGGTAATTAATATTATCTTTCACGTCTGGTGAATCCACATTAAAGTTGAGGGAATATCTTGAATTAGAAGGTTATGTCTACTTTTGCTTTACATATCAACTGAAAGAATGATTTAAATCAGATAACAAAGATTTGTGGGTTTGATTTTGCTAAAAATGAATTGGAAATTTTACTCATGGTAATGATATTATTGCTAAGATTTATGAAATGTTGAAATTGAATTTGGAAAGTGAACATGTAAAACATGACAATATTATTGCTAAGATTTATGAAATGTTGAAATTGAATTTGGAAAGTGAACATGTAAAACATGACATTATTTAGTGTGCAAGAAATTTTGGATATAATGTGATGCTTGAACAATGGGAAAATATGTTAATGAAAAGTTCAAAATTTACACTAAACTATAATTTAAAAGAAAAATTTTATAAGATTATGTATTACTGGCATTTAACACAAGATAAATTATCCTGAATGTATAAGGGTATTTCAAATCAATGTTGGAAGTATCAAACAACGAAGGAACTTTTTGACATTTATGGTGGACATGTGATAAAGCAAAGACATTTTGGAGTAAGATTCATATTATAATACAGAAAATTCTTAAAACAAAAATAAAAATGAAATCAGCAACTTTTCTTTTGGGTTTAATGGAAGAAGATTTTGAGAAAAAACTTTTCTAGAAATGGCTAGTTTGTATTATTATGGGAAAACAAAAAGTTATGGTTTGATTTTAATGCTTTTTTTTTACTGCAAAAGAGGGAGTCGGGAGTCAATGTTTCTTCTTTTCTTTTCCCCAATTTCTCTTCACTTTTCTCTCCCTTCCCCCCTTCTACTGTGTCTTCCTATTTACTTTTGTGTTTTATCTTATAACCTAATAAAAAAGGTTAAACTGGAAAAAAGATGTGTATATTATTTCAAGAAGGGGATTTTCTTATTTGAAACTCATTGGTCACTAAGAGTCGACTGGTCAAATAGATCCTGTCTCCCTGCATTAAGGGGAAGCATAAAAGATTCTCAAAGTCACCAGGCCATGATCTGGCCAGGACAAAGGGGACCAGGATAGCTCCTCCTCAGATAACTTTGGAAGTGATCTGTTTTGGGTTGAGCCAAGAAGGATGGAGGCCATATTGAAATGCCTCTAAGGCCTGCCCCAGGGATGGCAAATGGATATCCCTCAAGACCATAAGTCTGGGGAACCCCATAGTCAACTGTGAAATGCCCCCCAGAGTCTCAGACATGGAGGTTGTCATGCAGCAGGAAAGCTGGTACACTAGTAATGATCCCAACTGGTCCTGTGAATGACTTTTCAAGGAAATTTGGGGAGCAGCACCCCAAAAGATCAAAAGAGACAACTGGACAACAATTGCTGCCCTTCAATATGCAATATGCTAGAATAAGAGGAGGATTTGGTTTGCCTAATTGGGGGTTGTATTACCAAGCTACAAATTTGATCTGGGTTAAGGAATAGATAACGTTAAGAAATACTAGATTGTTGACATTAGAAGGACATGATCTGTTGTTGGGGTAGCATGCTTTTTTATGGTATAAAGGAACTAAAACACAGGGGTATTTTAGAAGACATTATATACGGGAGTCTCTGTGGTTAAATTGGGAGAAGATTAAAAGACAATGTTATTTGAAAATTCCAGTCTGGTTATCGACTATTGAAGCATTTTCTTATCCTATAATATACAAAAAGGAACAAACAGATACGGTGAAATATTGAATGAAAAGGGTGAACTTAAATCTATACAAAAACTAGAGGAACAAGGTATAAAGATGAATTGGTTTTCATACGCGCAAATACATTCAAGGTATGATAAAGATTCTAAAACAGAAGGTTTCTATGATAAATTGACTGACTTAGATAAGATGTTGACAGGTACTGATGAAAAGGTGATTAAAAAATTGTATGGATATTTATTAGAAATTAAACTAGAAGAAGAACAAGTTAAAGAAACTATGATTGCTTGGGGGAAGAATTTTGGATATGGGATTGATCTAGAGAAATGGCAAAAACTGTGGTCTCAAAATTATAAAATGACAATGTCAACAGCATATAAAGAAAATTTGTATAAGATGTTTTACAGGTGGCACTTTCCCCCAACAAGAATAGCAAGAATGTTCAAGAATAAATCCAAAAAATGTTGGAAATGTCATCAGATACCTGGCTCATATTACCATATTATGGTGGACTTGTTTGGATGCTAAAAAATACTGGACTAAAATCCACATGTGGATGGAAAAAATGACAAAAAAGCATATAGATTTGAAACCAGAAATATTTTTATTGGGAATTTTACCTGAAATATATAGTAAAGACTTGAAATACCTGATTTTAAATGTATTAACAGCGGCTAGGATTGTATTTGCTAAAAACTGGAAAAATGAGAAAATACCATCACAGGAGGAAATCATTAAGAAAATATTGGAATGTGCTGAAATGAGTAGATTGACATTTGACATCATCTTGAGAACAAGATGATAAACAATTTTATAAAATTTGGGATCTATTCTATCAATGGTTAGACAATAAATTATAGTAATGAAATATGTAGACTTTTAGAAAATAATAAATATATAAAGATGTATTCTTTTCTTATTATATCTACAAAATGATTCTAGGATAGATCTGGGATGATAATCTGAATTGTCATAAAACAAATTAAGTAAAATATGATCATTTTGGAAAATATGAATGAATAAAAGTATAGTCAACTGATTGATTAATAATGATATTAATGTATTTAATATATTGATTGAAAATACGAGATTATATACAATATAATTATAATTGAAGACTATGAAATGGAAGCACAAAACAATTTGTAAACCAACCGGCACACTGTATGTACATATATGGAAGATGATTTGATGTTTTTATGTTTTGTTTGTTTATGTTTGTTTTAAAAACCAATAAAAATTTATATATAAAAAAAAACAATCCAAGGGAAGAAATCATCAACCAATGATGTTTGTTATATGAAACATATATTTACACATAACATATTAAAATGAATCCCAGTATAGCATCCATTCTCCAAGTCACATACTATTGTTGTTTCCCCCCCTTCGCCACATTTGGGGTCATCTTGCGCTTCTGTGTGTTCATCTGTTGTTTGTCTATTCCACCACTGCATCTAAATAAGCCCCCTTACCTGTGGGACCTTGAAGATGCTGAAGATGGGGGCTATCAGCTGATCATATTTGTTAATAAAGTGTGTTCTCTATTAAGTACATAGAGAGTAAAAATGGAGCTCATTTAAACTGTAGAATTATAAGAACTCTAATAGTCATTTGAATGGATAAGTTGATAGGGAACTCAGCAAAGCCTCAGGGATCAATAAAAATGAACATGCTTCAAAACAGCCCAACATAGTGAAACCAACCCAACATATAATTAAAGATACTTTTGATGAAAATACAGGGAAATTGTAGTTCTGGAACCTAATATCCATACCTTTAACATCAAAGCATATTTTCAAGTTATTCGTGGGGCCTTACTGGGGTGAACTGACATTAATAAAAAATAAAAGTGTGGGTGATTACTAAATGGTCTGTGTTTATTCACATCACTTGATTTCCAATTATTTAATGAACTAGTTGCTCTCTCATTTCACAATATTTTTTAGAAATCAGATCAAATACAAAAATGCCCCAAAGTCAAAATAAAACTTTCAAATCTCTGCATAAATCAGAGATTCTTGTGTCCCATTATATTTTCCTTACAATTAAGATGGGGCCTCAGTAGGATAATGTAGCATTTGGGGAAAAAGATACAAGCCAAGAGACCAGCCCCAGAAGCCAAGATGGAGAAGATCTCCACAGCCACCATGGACTTCCCTTTAGTGCTCAGGTAGGTGGGGAGAAATGTGATCCAAACACTACAAAAGACCAGCATGCTAAAAGTAATGAACTTGGCTTCATTAAAACTGTCAGGCAATTTTCTGGCCAGAAAGGCCACCGTGAAGCTGATAAGGGCCAGGAAACCCAGATAGGCAAGGACAACGTAAAACATTGAAGTTGAGCCTTCATGACACTCTAAGATGGCCTCTCCTACCAAGGAGTGGAAGTCCAAGTTTGGAAATGGAGGGGAAATTGTCAGCCAGACAGTGCAAATAATTGCTTGGACCAGGGGACAGGCTAAGACAATGGAATTGGTCAGAGGTTTTCCTAAGAGTTTCCTTGCCCTGTTCCCTGGTTTAGTGGCCATGAAAGCCAGAACCACCATGACAGTTTTTGCCAAGACAGAGGAAACTGCAAGGGAAAAGACAATGGCAAAAGCAATTTGTCGGAAGAGACAGGTGAGGTTCCCAGGTTGACCAATGAAGAGGAAAGAGCAGAGGAAGCAGAGCAGGAGGGAGAACAGGAGGATGTAGGTGAGATCACGGTTGTTGGCCTTGACGATTGGTGTATTGTGATGTTTAAGGAAAACCACAAGGACTGTAGATGTGGTCACAAAGAGAAAAAGAGTGAGAGAAACTAAAGCGTATCCCAAGTTATCTTGATAGGCAAGGAAGTGCACCTTCTTCACAATGCAGTGATTCTTCTCCCCATTTGGATATTGGTTTTCTGGGCAAGGGTCACAGTGGGCTGCATCTGAAATCAAAAGTCTTTATCTGAGCAGTTCAATAGTATCTATCTTGACTATTTGTCATATTGCAATGTCCTACCTGTCAATGAATACTTCAGCTTCAACCACAACAATACAAGAGTACACAATAGATACAAACTCAAGGTAAACCACACCAAACTTGATTGCAGCAACAGAGTGGTCAAGGTCTGGAATGCTCTACCTGACTCTGTGGTTTCTTCCCCAAACCCCAAAAACTTTAACCTTAGACTGTCTACTATTGAGCTCACCTCTTTCCTAAGAGGTCTGTCGGGGGCATGCATAAGCACACCAACATGCCTACCATCCCTGTCCTAATGTTTCTTTTTATTCATATGCATTTCAATGTATTCATAACCATGTTTATACTTATACCTATTATCTAATACTAGATAGATAGATAGATAGATAGATAGATAGATAGATAGATAGATAGATAGATAGATAGATAGATAATAAGACCCTTAAAGAAGGCTGAGTTCAATGGGCCACTCTTTAAATTTCATCAACCTAATTTGCTCAACTGGTTTGCTCAGTCAGGTTCTCTTCCAACCCTCTCCATTCAGCCTTTGCCAGACCTCTTCATTCCACTTTGAGGAATGTCTTGAACAACTTGCCTGTTTGATTAGAAATGGTCCCTTCTGGGCAAGAAATACATTCATAGCAGCAAATGGGCCTCCCCTCTGCAACTTTCCTGACCTGTCCTGGAAGGCAGTGTTCCACACATCGGGAGAAAGGCTTTGTCTGAAAGGAGAGATTTTAGCGTTGAAAGGTTAGAAACATTCAGCTCAGCTACAGGATATATATACAGGATATACAGTGTATAAAAGTGTCCCCTCTTGCTCTGTTGTTATGAGAGTTTCCACCTCAACAGCCTGTTCCCCTTCTCTTCTCTTAGCCCTTGAAGCAGCATTTGGTCTCCACCTGGTTAGCCCACACAATGGCATCGGGATCGATGCTGAAACCTTCAGCTGAAAGAGCCACCGGATTAACCCATCCAACTTTCTGTCGAAGGATCGTCATATTTGCAAAGACGATCCAGTTTAGGATGTCAAATCTTTCATATTTCATTCCACTTTCTGAAAAGGAGACTTCATCCCCAGCAGTGTTGTTAAAGATATTGTTTTTCAAGAACGCGTGGATCTGAAATTGTAAAACAAGCAAACAAACAAGTCCATGAGGGTGAAGAGATATAAAGAGTGTTTTTTTTAAAAAAAAATCAATACGTGGAAGGAATATTATTCTGAATGCAGGACATGAAACAGAGATGGGGTTAGCCAGCATTTCCCCAATAGGCCTTTAACAGGCAATCTCTTTATTCCTTTTAGTTCATTATACACTGCTGCAGAACTCTCCACTCCTCTACTCGTTGCAGAATACCTTATGCCACCAGACTTGAAATTCTAGACCTGGAAAACCTAGAACTACGCCGCCTTCAGTTTGATCTTAGTATAGTACATAAAATTACATATTGCAATGTCCTACCAGTCAATGAATACTTATTGAATACTCAACCATAACAATACAAGAGCAAACCATGAATACAATGAATACTCAACCATTACAATACAAGAGCAAACAATAGATACAAACTCAAGGTTAATCGCACCAAACTTGATCGCAGGAAATACGACTTCAGCAACAGAGTGGTCAATGTCTGGAATACTCTACCTGACTCTGTGGTTTCTTCCCCAAACCCCAAAAACTTTAACCTCAGACTGTCTACTATTGACCTCACCTCTTTCCTAAGAGGTCTGTAGGGGGCATGCATAAGCACACCAACGTGCCTACCGTCCCTGTCCTATTGTTTCTTTTATTTTTCTTATATGTATCCATGTATTCATAACTATGTTTTTACTTAAACCTATTATCTTGTAAGCAATTGACAAACCAAATAAAAATAAAAAATAAAACTACAGTAGCAAGTGTGCTGTTAGTTTGATGGAGAAAGCAACCTTTGATGAATAAGAGAGCAAATAAATTTCACCTTAAGGAAACAAAGAAAAATATTTTTCCCTCAAATAAAAGTGTGGAGGGAGAGAAATAGGCCTTCATCGAGACTTCGTTCCATTTGTAAATTATGACCTGTTGTTACACCAGAATCCCAAATGAGCTGTAAGTTGAGACAAAGTTCCATAGATCTTCAGCTTCAAGGATGGAACCTACACACTACTGCAATAGCGTGTTTTGCCTGAAATACTCACCATCCCATAAAATATTATCTACTAATATGATAGTTAGGGAGTGAGGGTCTGTGTCTAAAATGACAACATAGAGCAGTAGAATTAGGAACCCATGAAAGTTGATTATTTTCCTCCCACATTGAAATGAGACTTGCATTTTGCTTTCTTATGATATATCTTATTTCTCACTCTCATTTACTTCCTCGTTTCCTTATGAATCTTTTGTTGCAAATTTTGGTAAATGTCAAGCTATGAGATTTCAATAAAAGAGTGGAAATGTATGTAGACAAGATAGTACAAGAGATCAAAGGCAAAGGTTTATAAATCCTAAAACAGTGAAAAGTGAACATAACCAACAGAAGGGAAGCTCTGAAGATAGGAATTACCTGCCAGGGCTTCACAGAGACAAGAAGGTGTGGCTTCTTTCTTCCTCTCTTCAATGCCCATTGTGATTCCCATGTATACGCAGCGTGTAATGCGTGTGCCACAGAATAGGCAGCATTGTAGATGCTGTAGCTGAAACTGGTCATCTTTTCATCAAAGAGGGATATTGGGAGGGCGCCCAGGTTCTCCTCCCCTGTGCAAACACTTCGGCCATCAGGTGAGGCCAGACCTGCCTTTAAAACACCACAGTCAAATACAATTTCCCACCAGCTGGGGAGAAAGACATCTCCATGGGGTTCGTGTGGATTCAGAGCCCAGAGATAATCTTTGAATCCTGGCACTGGGTTTGTATGGACTGTCAAAGACAAAGCACCATGGAGGGTTTTCAATTTCACCCAATCATAGTGATAGCCAATAGCTGAAAATTCCCATTGGGTGGTCAGGATCCAAACCATCCAAAAAGCCATGTCGTTCTCTTCTTCATAAAAGTAGAGAGCTAATATAACACTTTGCAATGCATTTGAGTCCCCTGAGACAATCACAACCTGAACATCATAGTTTAAAATTGTCCAAAGCAGATCTATTTGGTCCTTGGCCAATCCATTGAATATTGTGATTCGGGACCGGATCTTCTTTACAAATTGTACACAAATGTCATTCTGGGCAAGGGTGGCATTAAAAATCTGGATGAAATGGTCACTGCTTTCCGAGTTCTGAACAACAATCCCAATCCAGTTCCACTGGAAATATAGAAAGAGCCGGACTATGGCTGCATTCTGTAGGTGGTACTGGGGATCAATCTGGTAGAAGGTGGGGAACTGGCTCTTATCTGTCAAAACAGGGTCAGAGAAGCGATAACCTAGCTGAAGGGAGGGTGGAGATGGAGGAGAAGGAAGAGGTTAAGCAAGGAAAATGGAACCCATATTTTTTTGTTACTAAACTCAAACCATATAGACTAGCAGGCTATCCAATCTTGACCCCAATCCCCACAACCTTGTATTGTCATGAGATGTTTCCTACAGGTCACAGAATTGGCTCTGCATATTGTTGGCAGTAACCACACAAGGTAGAACTTATATCATTACCTCTGCATTCCCCCTTTCATCATGTTGCGTGTCCAAGTACCTGAGAAATCTTGAAATTGCCCAAAATGGTTGCCATCTGGTACGAAGTTCTGGAGTTGAGACCTCCAAGAACAGAGAGAAGGTTGTCCTGCGTGTCACACTTATAGTTAGGAGACAATTTTCCCCAGCTGGAGAGCAGAGAGAGGGTGACATCTTGGGCCATGCTTGCATACTGATTCTCTTCGTAGATGTGGAAGCCCAAGGTGATGTTGGGGAGAAGCTGTGGGTCTTTGTTGACCTCCTGGGTGGCAAATGCCAAAGCCAGAATGTGTTGGTAGTTCTTGGGAATAGGTCTTTGTTGCAAGTGTTGGAGGACAAAAATTAGAGAGGAGCAGGAGGGAGATTTTTTGTTAAGAAAGCATTATCAGGATTCTAGGAGTTAATCATAAAACAGATCAATACAATTTATTTTACTACTGTCATAAAACAGGGTGGCTATCAATCAATTGATCCTGTTAATAAGGTCAATAATATATGACAAAAACTCCTTTCCCTGTCTCAGCATTTGTGTGAATTGATGCACAAATTATAATCTGAGATTGTGAATTTATTTTATTTCAAAATGACAGGCTTAGTTTAATGTAATACTTGCTTTACAGCTGTCTTTCACAGTACTCTTCAAATTTGGATATTGTCCTCTTTGTAAAAAAAAATTACCAGTCTACATGGACAGATTACATATCCAGAATCACTTATCTATGTTCTCCAAGCAGAAATTAGGTGCCCAATCCAGCCATCTATTGAGCTGCCGTGCTACCAGCCCCCACTACCATAAGGAAAAGGGCAGTATGGACAACCGTGGGATCTGGCAGGGTGAGAGCTGTGGACCATAAATGCAAAGCTTTTGCTGTATCCCAGCATAACAGATACAGTGCCCTTGCTGACCTCAATAGGGACACTAAAGTGACAGGTCAAGGTAGTTGTGATAATGATAACTCAAGTAAGCCGGGGATCATGGTCCTAGAAGAAGAACTTACTTTGGAAAGGAGAAAGTGTGAATCAGGTATTACGCACCAGTCATACAAGAACAGCATCCAAAAAGAGAAGACACCTTCTAGTTGGGGACTCAATTGTAAGGGGTGTAAATTTAGGAAAGGATACGGAGGTTTTGAAAGAGGTCGGGTGTCTACCAGGTGCTACTGCCAGCAGAGACAAGAGGCGTATTCTTAAGATAGTCAAGAATGCCAGCAAGGACTGTGATGTTGATGCTATTATACATCTTGGTACAAATGATCTGTCCCAGAAGGATGTGCTTTCTGTTCAAAAACACTTCCAGAGCTTGGGGTATGAACTTAGTAATATGGGCTGTAGGCTTATCTTTTCAGAGGTTCTACCAGTATACAAGGAACAAAAAGGGAAAGGGCAGCATGTAGCAGAGTTTAATGTATGGCTAAAGGAGTGGTGTAAAAGAGAAGACCTTGGTTTTATTAGTCATGATGTCTGCAGCTGGTCCAATGAAAAACTGTACAAAAGAGATGGTTTGCATCCATTAAAGAAAGGGACTGAGTTACTTGGCATTAAATTCACAGATTTCTTGGATAAACATTTAAACTGAACAGTGGAGACAGAGAATGGGGAACGTCTGGGGAACAAACAGGGTGAAATCGAACTACGAATACATGAAGGTAAATATGATACAGTTGGAATAACAGAAACTTGGTGGGATGAAACCTATGACTGGAACATATTGGTAGAAGGATACAAACTGTTCAAAAAAACCAGACCCCATAAAAGAGGAGATGGAGTTGCACGGTATGTAAAAGACCATTATATTGCTACAGAAATGCATGAAACCAAAGATGAAAACCTCCTAGAATGCATATGGGTCAATATAAAAGAAAAAAAGAATGACATGGCCATAGGTGTATATTTTAGGCCATCCAATCAAACAGAAAAAATAGATGTCCTTTTTGCCAGCCAAGTAACAAACATATGCAGGAAACACACAACAATAGTAATGGGAGACTTCAATTATCCTGATATCAATTGGAATACTAATTCTGCGCCGTGGGAAATCAAATAAGTTCCTAATGAACCTACCTGACAACTTTGTTGTCCAAAAGGTAGAGGGTGAAACTAGAGGGACAGCCATACTGGACTTAATTCTTACAAACAGAGAAGAAGTGATAGAGGGAATTGAAACTGCAGAGTGACTATGTCATACTAGAATTCAACATAACACAAACACAAGCAATAGAACATAAGGATACCAGAGTCTTGGATTTTAAAAGAGCTGATTTCAATAAACTCACAGAGAACTTGGGAAAGATTCCATGGATGAAAAGCCTAAAGGGAAAAACAACTCAAGAATCTTGGGAAACTCTGAAAAGTACGATCATAGAAGCCCAGACCAGCACAATACCACTGAGAAAGAAAAACAAGAAATCCAAAAAGAAACCAGCATGGCTGCACAAAGATCTCTCTGGCAAATTGAAAGAAAAAAAGAACAAGTACAAAAAATGGGAAGAAGGACAGACAACTAAGGAAGAATATTAGCAGATAGCCAGAATCTGCAAAAACAAAGTCAGGATAGCAAAGGCTCAGAATGAACAAAGACTTGCAACAAAAGTCAAAGATAATAAAAAAAAAGTTTCTTCCAACATATAAATAACAAGAAAAAAATCAAGGAAACAGTCAGTCCACTAAAGAGAGAAGATGGCAAGGAAGTAACAGGCAACAGAGAAAAAGCAGAATTGCTTAACTCATTCTTTGCATCGGTCTTCACGCAAAAAGAAACTATAGCTCAACCCACCCAAAACATAACTGTAAAAGACAGAAGAGAAATAAAAGTTAAAATAAGCAAAAAAAATAGTAAGAGAAGACCTGTTTGTTCTTGATGAACACAAATCACCGGGGCCTGATGGATTACATCCCAGAGTTTTAAAGGAGCTGGCACAGGTCATCTCAGAACCACTGCACCATATCTTTCAAAAATCCTGGAGCACCGGGGAATTACCAGAGGACTGGAAAAGAGCTGATGTGGTTCCCATCTTCAAAAAAAGTGGGGGGGGGAACAGACCCAGGAAATTATAAACCAATCAGCCTAACATCAATACCTGGGAAGATACTGAAAAGATAATAAAAAACAGATCTGCCAACATCTAGAAACAAGTAAAGTAATAACTAACAGTCAGCACGGGTTTGTTAAGAACAGATCATGCCAAGCCAATCTTATTTCATTCTTCAACACAGTGACTAAATTAGTAGACCAACAAAATACTGTGGACATAATATATTTAGATTTCAGCAAGGCATTCGACAAAGTAGACCACAATCTACTTCTTAGTAAGCTAGAAAAAAGTGGAATAGATAGCACCACCACTAGATGGACTCGCAACTGGCTGGCAAACCATACTCAACGAGTAGTCCTTAATGGGTCTAAGTCTACATGGAAGGAAGGAAGCAGTGGGGTGCCACAAGGTTCCATATTAGGCCCAGTACTCTTCAATATCTTCATTAATTACTTAGATGAGGGAATAGAAGGGGAATTTGCAGATGATACTAAGCTGGCAGGAATAGCTAACAAGAAGATAGGCTCAAGATCCAGATGGATCTTGACAGACTAAAACACTAGGCCATATCTAACAAAATGAAATTCAATGTAGAGAAAAGTAAAGTCCTACACTTAGGCAAGAAAAACCAAAAGAGCACATATAGACTGGGTGAAACCAGGCTCAATAGCAGTAACTGTGAGAGGGATCTTGGAGTCTTAGTGGACAACCAGCTAAATATGAGCCAGCAGTGTGCAGCAGCAGCCAAAAAAGCTAATGAAATCCTAAGTTGTATTAACAGAGGGATACAGTCAAGATCAAGGGAAGTACTAATACCACTCTATAAAGCCCTAGTAAGACCACACCTAGAGTCCTGCATCCAGTTTTGTTCACCACACTATAAAAAAGATGTTGAGACTCTAGAAAACGTACAGAGAAGAGCAACCAGGATGATTAGGGGACTGGAGACTAAAACATACAACGAACAGTTGCAGGAACTGGGCCTGGCTAGTCTGGAGAAGAGAAGGACCAGGGGAGACACGATAACAGTCTTCCAATATTTGAGGTGCTGTCACAGGGAGGAAGAAGTCAAGCTATTTTCTAAAGCGCCTGTAGGTCAGACAAGGAATAACGGATGGAAACTGAACAAGGAGAGATTTAACCTGAAAATAAGGAGAAACTTTCTAACAGTGAGAACAATCAACCAATGGAACAGAAGTTGCCCTCGGAAGTTGTGGGAGCACCATCACTTGAGACTTTCAAGAAGAGACTGGACTGCCATTTGTCAGAAATGGTGCAGGGTCTCCTGTTTGGGTGGGGGGCTGGACTAGATGACCTATAAGGTCCCTTCCAATTCTGATTATCTGTTATCTGTAATTGATTACATGACCTCAGTTGAAATCAGTATTGATTTTTCCAGAAATGAACTTCTCAGCCCAATTAAGGAAATCTGGCTTAATGTCTTGATAAAGTTTATGCACTTTATTATGTCCAGTCATGGAAATCCTTCTACCCTGCTTTCTCAGGCACTTTTTCCCCAGTCTAGCACTCTGTCATGTTCCCAGAATCCTTTTGACTTTAGGTGACTTTACAAATCCAGTAAATTAGATGAAACTGAATTGAATTGAATGTCTGACCAGGTTGACTTTTGCTGGCTAGCAGTATTTAAACCAATGTATCTAAATGGCCCTTTTAGTGGCCTCAGAAGGTAGAACTCTTTCTGTTGGGATTTCTCAAAGAAGCTCACTCCGCTCACCTACACTATACTTTCAGGGATCATTTCTATAGTATCCAACTAGAGAAATGCACTCAAACACTGGAGGCTTTCAAGAAGAGATTGTCATCTGTCAGAGGTGGTGTGGGGTCTCCTGCTTGGGCAAGGGGTCGGACTGGATGGCCTACAAGGTCTCTTCCAACTCTGTTCATTTAAAGAAGTGCCCAAGATTAACCAGTGATTGGTGTGAAGCCAGACCTGGTGGGACAAAAGAGAGACTTTCTCTTCACTTAATGTAATGGAAGCATGAAGGATGGTGTTGCAGATCATCAGAATAATGAGACAAGAAGATGAATGTAGTGCAGCCATAAAATAGAGGCCCTTATGCTTAAATTCAGCCAAACTGGTTTCTCTGCAGAATGTACCTTGCCTTCAGGAATATGAAAAAAGCTGACTCCCAATTCAGTGTGACAAGCTGTTCTTTACCACTGAAGAGTCAGAGGGCTCGAGAAAGGGATTAGAGGGAGGTTGAATCATCAAAGAGAATCAATGTGTTCCAACTAGGAAAGCTCTGAATCAACAGAGGCTGAGTGGGATTAAATCTGCCCTATCTTGAAGATTGCCCTTTACACACTGCCCTGACAAAAAAGACAATCAAGGAAACACTTACAGAGAAAGTTCATCCCAAGCAGGAGGTTCAAGTAAAGGGAGTGGTATGATCATAGGAATAGAGAGAGGCAGGTTTCCACCGATGATGAGATCTCCAGATCTGTAATAGTCTTTTTGCACTAGGAAAGGTCTCCTCCAGAAGCAGTTTGGCCTCAGGTCCATCTGGATAGCTGTAGGCAAAGTCCATAGCAACATGAAAAGCCAACTCATTGTCTACAGAAAGAGACCTTCTTCCTAGAGGAAAGTCAATGAGGGATGATGTAGAAAATGTGGTGCTCTGATGACTTCAGGGGGTTCAAGTAGGGTTTTAAGTCTTTAAGATAAGCATTGATCTTAGCTCCAACTCTAAAGGGACCCAGCCATGTTATTCAGAGCATGCTAAGTAAACATTGTTTTGACCAGACACAAACTTATTTGGGGGGGGGGGGGGGGGGGGGATTAATCACTGGAACTCTACTGAGATGAAGTAAAAATTACTAGTGTTTGATGAATCCTAGGAGAGAGAAATGTCCACATTATTTCTATAACCCTGGAGTCTGGTGCACTTGGCAAGTGAAAAAGTTATTTGTGAAGTTATTGTGTGTCCCTTTCTGTGAACTCTTGATTGGACAGTCATGCAACTGTAGAGTTGGAAGATAACTTTATTTTATTTACTTATTTATTTGATTTGTCAATTGCTTACAAGACAAGAATACAGGAAATAGGTACGAATAAATGGGGACAAAAGGAAAGGGACAGTAGGCACGATGGTGCACTTATGCATGCCCCTTAGAGACAGTGAGGTCAATAGTGGTTAGTTTGAGGTTAAACTGATCATTCACCAAAATAGTAGGTAAATCTGCCGTCATAATCATATTTCATAATAATTCAACATGATCCATACATGAAATAAGGGGTTGGATTAAAGTGTCACATTGACTCTTCTATTGGAGAAAGCAAGATAAGGCGTCCACTATAAAAATTTTCCCAGCAGGAACATATCGTAGTGTAAAGTTGAATCGTTTAAAAAACAATGCCCACTGCACTTGTTTAGAAGATAATCGACAGGGATTTTGGAGTGCCTCCAAATTTTTGTGATCTGTCCACACCTCAAAAGGGTGTGGACCACCTTCTAGTAGATGTCTCCAAGTAATTAATGCCCACTGAAGAGCAAATGCCTCTTTCTCCCAAATAGCCCAATTATTCTCACTGGAATTAAATTTTTGAGAGGTATAGGCACATGGTTGTAACGTTCCTGCCAAATTCTTTTGTAGCAAAACAGCTCCTATTGCCACATCACTAGACTCGGCTTGAATTACCAATGGTAAGCTGATATCAGGATGTTTGAGGGCCAGTTCTTGAGCGAAGAGATTTTTCAAATTATCAAAAGCGGTTTGACATTGTGGCGTCCATGATAACAAAGTACTTGATTTTGGTTTCTCAGTCCCCATAGTTTTAGTTCGCAGTAGGTTAGTTAACAGAATGGTAATATCAGCAAATCATGGTATGAATTTCCGGTAAAATTTGGCAAATCCGAAGAAACTTTGAAGTTGTTTGCGTGTGCATGGGGCTTGCCATTGTAAAACAGCCTCCACCTTTTTGGGGTCCATTGTTATCCCATGTTCAGAAATACGATATCCAAGATAGTCCAGTTGTTTAGTATGAAAATCACACTTGGACAATTTTACATAAATTTTGGCCTCTAACAATTTATTGAGTATCTGCCTTACTAAATGGATATGTTCTTCCTCTGTGTTGGAATATATTAAAATATCATTCAAATAGACTAATACACCTTTATAGAGATGATCATGCAAAACTTCATTAATTGCATGAATACTGCTAGGCACCTTGCACACCAAATGGCATTACATTAAAATAATAACTGCCTTTGTATTTCAATGTCTTCTCTCTTACAGCTTGTAATATTTGTGTTTTGATGGATTTTTTGGTAAATCTGATATGGACTTCCCTTGGTAATTTATTTCTCATCGCATATCTTGTAAAAACTCGATATACCTCATCTACTCCATCCATCATCTTTTCCTCTGTAATTTCCAAAGCATCCGCCAGAATTTCTATCATTATCGCAGCCAAATTTTGTCCTTTTTCTTCTTCTATATTCTGAAATCTGAGATAGAATTCTGACCTCTCCATCTCCCACCTCAACATCCCACTTTTATCTTGTTCAACCACTGTTAATCTGCTGTCAATATTTCCAATCTTCTCCTCTCTTTGTTTACCTTCTTCCTCAATTTTTTGGAATCTCTCTTCATACTTCACCATCATTTGTTGAATATTTTCCACTTTTTCATCAGTCTTATCTGTTCTTTGTTCAATAGTATCTATTTTTATCTTGAGATCTTGGATTCCTTGCATAATCATCTGTAAATTCACTTTTTCTTGTTCTTTATCTTGCTTCAACATTGTCTGAATTAAACGTTGTCCTCCAGCTGGTGGGGAGGCAGAGGTAGAAGTAGAAACGCCAGAAGATATGGGTTTCCTGCTCATTTTGATGCTTCAAGACCTTCAAATTCTTTTTAGCTTTTAATCCAACTGGTAAAATAGCCAATTATAATCCAAAATGGAAAAATCCAATAATAAAAAGCCCAATGACAAAAAGAAAGAAGGAGAAAAAGAAAAAGAAAAATCTTCAGGTTCTTCTAGACCCTAATCCAATGATGAAGTAGTCCACAATAAAAAATGAAAAATAGAAAAAAGAAAAAAGCCCAAAAATAATAATAATAATTAGGAAGAAAAAAAAACAAAAATAAGGAAGAAAAAGAAAAAATTCCTTCAACTTCTTCACACCTTAATCCAATTGGGAAATTAAAAAAAAGAAAAGAAAAGGCAGAGTGGTCCAAAAATATAAATGGAAAAAGCAAAAAAAAAAATCCCAGTAAAAAGAAGGCAAAGGCAAAGAGATTGTGGTTTTAAAACAAATACCCAGAAGAGTGAGAGAGACGAGAAGAGAATACCGATTCCTGACCAAAATGCTATTGAAAAAGGAAGTGAATTATAGATGGCTGATTTCAGAAGGATTAATGTTTATGTGGCAAGAACGGAGACATAGAATCGATTCAATTGAGAAAGCAGAACTTTTCCATGCAGAATTTTTTGGAAGGAGAGAAGAAGAGGCAGAGAGTTTCAAGAGGAACAACTTGAAACAATTGAGTTTCAAGAGGAACAACTGGAGATTGAAGAAGAGGAAGGTGCAGTAGGTGGACAGGTGGATAGTAAAGAACAGCGTGAAGTGAGATCCACGAGAGCTGTTAGACCTAAATATAAAGCATAATCATGGAAGAAAAAAACTGATTACAATTAATATAAATGGACTCAATTCAGCTGTTAAAAGAAGGAAAACCTTTCATAAATTAGAGAAATTAAAATTTGATATAATTTGTCTTCAAGAAGTACATATTAAAAAACAACATGAACAATTGTTAGTACAGGCAAAATTAGGGAAAATATTTACTTCTTTGACTCAGTGTAAGAAAAGGGGAGTGGTTCTATACATTAAAGAGGTTATCCCAGCAAAATTGATTTATACGGATGAAGATGGAAGAGTATTAATGGTGGAAATAATGGACAATAATATAAAAATACTCTTGATTGCAATCTATGCTCCGAATGATAAACAAGAAGAATTCTATAAAAAAGTACACATGAAAGTAACTGGACTGGACTATGTTAATATAATTATGATGGGAGACTTTAATGGAATTGTGGACAATAAACTGGACTATATAGCAACAACAACAAAGCAAAATAGAAAGACTCTCCCTAAATCTTTTTTTAAAATGACAGACGAATTAACCTTAAAAGATATTTGGAGAGAAAGAAATGCCAAAGCTAAACAATATACTTTCTATTCAAATAGACATTTATCATGGTCCAGATTGGATGTGATTTGGATCTCAACAGAATTAATATCTAATATTCAAGAAACAAATATTGAAACAAGTACTTGGGCAGATCATAGCCCAATGACAATTAAATGGAAGGGACAAAAAAAAGATCGAGATGGACATTAAACAATACTATCTTAAAGGAAAAAGATTTTATACAATGGATGGAGAAAGAATTGGCTTTTTTCTTTAGAGAAAATAAAAAAGAAGATACTTCAATGCAGAATGTTTGGGATACAATGAAGGCATATGTTAGAGGTTTGATAATAGATTGTATAAGAAAAAAGAATATTAGGAAAAGGCAAGCCATTAAGGCCTTGGAAGATGAGTATAAAAGACTTGAAGAAGAATTACAGAAAATGCCACAGAAAAATTATATTAAATTGAAGTTGGATATAACTAAACATAAAATGGAATTAATAGAGAAAGAAGAATTGGCACAGAAAATCAGAAATGCTAAACAGAATTATTTTGAAGATGCAAATAAACCAGGTAGATGGTTAGCATATAAGTTGAGAAAGGAGAAATAATCAAGAAAAATATTGAAGTTAATAGATGATCAAGGCCAAGTTTGTTATGGTAATAAGGAGAAAAAGGAAATTATTCGAGATTTCTATGGGCAACTATATAAACAAGAGAATATTGACGAGGAAAAAGTCAAACAGTATCTACAGAATGCTAACCTACCGAAGATACCTAAAGAGACTGAAGAAATGCTAGAAAGCAACATAACAATGATGGAATTAACTGAAGCACTTAAGAAACAAAATAATGGGAAAGCACCAGGTCCAGATGGGCTTCCGGCAGAATTCTATAAAACATTTCAAGAATCATTGAGCATTCCATTGCTAGAAGTTATGAATGAAGCTATGTCAAAGAAGATGATACCCAAAACATGGTCAGAGGCTTATATTACACTTATTCCAAAAAAAGAGGCTGACCCACTGCAAATTAAGAACTATAGACCTATTTCTTTATTAAATGCAGACTATAAAATCTTTGCTTCAATTTTAGCACAAAGACTTAAAAAATACTTAAATAATTTCATTCACCCAGATCAAAATGGATTTTTGCCAAAGAGACAAATTAGAGACAATATGAGAGTAATCTTGGATACTTTGGAATACTATGAGGCACATCCTGAAAAGCAAATGGCTTTGATATTCCTAGATGCTCAAAAGGCATTTGACAACATGAACTGGAGATTTATGTTATTACTATTGGAACAGATGGGTTTTGCCAGAAAATTTATCCAAGCAATAGAAGCCATATACAATAAACAGACAGCAAAGGTAATGATGGAGGGAGAACTTACAGACTTTATCAATATAAGAAAAGGCACAAGACAAGGATGTCCCCTATCTCCTTTGCTATTTGTATTGACTTTGGAAGTGTTGAATAGAAATATTAGAGATGATAAAAGCATAAAAGGAATGAAAATTAAAAAGGAAGAATTCAAACTGCAAGCCTTTGCTGATGACTTAGCCTTTATTTTGGAAGATCCGTTAGAAACAGCTCCAAAGTTATTGGAAAAGATAGAGATATATGGTGAGGTGGCTGGTTTGAAAATAAATAAAGACAAAACAAAGATTTTGACAAAGAACATGCTACTGAGACAAAGAGAAGAACTGGCAGACCTGTTGAAAATCCAAGTTACGAATAAGGTCAAGTATCTGGGGATACACTTGACAGCAAGATGTAGCACATTAAAAGAGAATAATTATATTAAACTTAAACAACAGATAGCTACAGACTTGAAGAAATGGGAAAACTTGCAATTGTCATTAATAGGGAGAATTTCAACAATTAAGATGAATATTTTACCCAGAATCCTATTTCTGTTTCAAACAATACCAATTAGGCTCAGAAAAGACTATTTTGATGATTTAAATAAAATTATGTTGAAGTATATATGGCAAGGTAAGAAAGCGAGAATAAAGCTAAAGCTTTTGCAAGATGCTAGAATTAGAGGGGGTTTTGGTCTGCCCAATTGGGAATTGTACTATCAAGCTGCAAGTTTGATGTGGGTTAAGGAATGGATAACATTAAGAAAGACTAGATTGTTGACACTAGAAGGTCATGATTTGCTGTTGGGTTGGCATGCTTTTTTATGGTATAAGGGAACTAAAACACAGGGTTATTTTAGAAGACATTATATACGGGAGTCTTTGTGGTTAAACTGGGAGAAGATAAAAAGACAATGTTATTTGAAAATTCCAGTTTGGTTATCGAATATTGAAGCATTTTCCTATCCTATAATTTATAAGAAGGAACAAACAGTTAGATATGGGGAACTATTGGATGAAAAGGGTGAACTTAAATCGATACAAAATTTAGAGGAACAAGGTATAAAGATGAATTGGTTTTCATATGGGCAAATACATTCAAGGTATGATGAAGATTCTAAAACAGAGGGATTCTATGATAAACAGACTGATCTAGATAAGATCTAGATGGGTACTGATGAGAAGGTGATTAAAAAATTATATGGTTATTTATTGGGAATTAAATTAGAGGAAGAACAAGTTAAAGAAACTATGATT